TATATATATATTGCTATTGTTATTGCATCGCTGAGAGCGCTTCCCTGTTATGAACTGTTTCTTCGTGTGATTCTGACAAGGTCATAGTCGTAACAAGATAAGCGCCCCTACACGGGTAGGATGAAATTTCAGGGCATGGATTCCTATTAAATTCAATCCTAATGATGTGATCTAACTCCCCTAGAAATGTACCGTAAAGCTTACGTGACCCCCTGTTATATGTAACGTTTTTAAACTTGCACATTTCGACAAAAAACGGACAGAAAATGTCATTAGAAATCTGTAGCTTTAGTAGCAAAACTAATTTTAGAATTGAAATCCCCCACACGAATTAGGGAAGATCAATTTATTTGTATAAATGCAACGAAAAAAATTGTTTCCAGTGTCATTTATTATTTAATTTACTCACCTGTAATAAAAAAAAAACTGCTCTCCGAATGTTTTTCCTTTGTCGTCTGACGTTCTACACTTCTAAGTTTATGAGTGCACGTTTGAAATCCATCCTATTATTTACAGCCAGCGACGCGTTTTAGATACAATAGCAGCTGCATACATATCCTCTTTATCTCGTTCTTTATCGTAAGTTGACAAACGCTTTTTTGTGAAATGAAAAAATTATCTTCCAGAATAAAGACTCATTTCAAATACCTCTCTTGTTTTAAAAATCCTAATGTGATAACATTTTCAAGCTACTTTTTTAAATGTACATATGATGAAATTTTTAAACTTATAAAGAAAATGTTGAATTCATTGAATAGGTGTTATTGAAAGAGAAATCTTCAGCTTTTTATACCGAGGTTTAAAGAATATCCAGTTATTAATTTCAACCGACTGAAGATGCTTTCAAATTTCATAAACAAAAGTTTCTACAACACGTTTGTGATTGGTATAGTGCTTTTATTTACTGATTATTTTCCTACTATTGCTTCTTCAAGAGATGAATCCCATATCTGGGAAATGAAAGAATCAACTGACTCCTTCAGACTTCCTCGAAGCATTGTGCCTATTCATTATGATATAGTTTTTAATCCACGCATTAAATCTGATAAATTCAACGGTGATGTGAATATCACTGTTAGCGTTATTAGACCTACAAACTACTTTACTGTACATGAAAGAGGATTGGAAATTTCTATTTCGGAAGTATATGATATTGAGCAACGTAAAATGCTTAACATCAAAAGAAGATTTAAATCTGGAATGGACAGTTATATCATTGAAACCATGGATGAAATAAGAACAGGAAAGTATATTTTGATCTTTGAATTTAATGGTATTTACGAACATGGTGTAGGATTATACAGAGAAGAATATGACTATTCCAAAAATGACAAAAGGTATGGCTACTTACTTTAAATTTATCATTTATAGACGAATTACTCAGGATCTTGCGTAATACTCGTTGGAGTTGGAAGGTATGAAATTGCCAGAGGACAATTCAGGCCGACTGCCGCAGGAAATGATAAACTGCCTTATTTCATGTATGAAATCAAGCTGCAACTGCTGTTTCATATTTTCCGACTCCAACGCGCATTATGCACGATTATGAGTGTGTATTACAATTGTTGAATGATACTTTGTTTTGATACTGTATCAATATATGCACGAATCAAATTTCATTAATTTCGTTTCGAATCAATCGGTGAAGTAGTTCTTGAGATAAGCGACCAAGTCTGCAAATTCTCTTAATTTCTTACACCAGCGTACATATGGGCATACGCGCACACACAGATATATATATAATATATATATGACACAAATAACAAAATAATAAAAATAATGTATAGAGAAAGCTAGAAATGGGNATATTATATATATATATATAGCACAAAAGAATTGAGAAAAGAATTGAGAAAGAGATAAAGAGAAAAGAATTGAGACGTCTCTTGCTCCAAGATCAAATACTATAATACTAGAAGAACTTTCTTTAAGAAAAAATTAATAAATAGCATTGCTGTTAACATTTTGAATTGACTTTTCACTAGCATTGACTGCTTTGTATACTTAAAATATTTTACTGAATATCAAAATGTCATTTTCCTGGCAAGTCCCAAACAATATTTCCCATAATAACTAGCTTCAAAACTTCCTATACATTTTTCAATATCTAATTTTTTTATCTTATCCTATGTAAGCATTTCTAGAATATACGCAGAGGGTATTGTTTACTAAAACTTCGTTTAAAATAATTTTTTCTGTCAATAATTTGTTTGTCCCATGAAAATCTGTCATTTTCCTGGCTACTTTGATTTAGTGATTTATAACCAAAATAGATAGCTCCAGGAATCAATATCTTATGTTAACAGACTGATTAGATACCCTCCTATCTGAACATGTCTTGTTGCATGAATAAAGAACTAATTTTCTGGCTCAAAATCTATTTCAAAAAATTTTTCAAGGTGAGTAGGTTTTTATGCTGTAATTTTCCTGGCTTCTTGAAATCATTAATAACAAAATTGCTCTTAAATCAAACGATTCAAATAATTTTTAATCTTCGTTTTTTTGATAGAATATCACTAAATTATTTAAATCGTAAATTAGCAAAGCGGAAAAAATCTTTGTGTTTAGTTATATTTTATTAATAAAACAATGATTGTATCTTTAGACACCTGGCAATGACATTTTTTGCCCCAAATTATGCTAGACGAGCTTTTCCATGTTTTGATGAACCCTCATTTAAAGCGACATTTTCCATTGGTGTCTTCCACGACTCAACGCATTTTGCAATCTCCAACATGCCAGTTGCGGTAAGTGTAAATAATTTTAATCATTTTAGATTATATCTGTCCGGAAACTCGAAATTAATATCATCGTGCGCCATATGTATTAGAACTAAATTAAAATTATTAATTCAGTAACCCATTTTAAAGCTATGCTCTTTAATCTCTGCATTTAAGACATAATTGCAATCATTTAATCAGACATTACAACATAATCATTGCATTTTGTTCTAGCTTGAAATGGGCTTGGAAAATAACAGAAAACTCACCAAATTTGAAAAAACTCCATTGATGTCTACTTATCTATTGTGTATAATTGTCTGTGATTTCCAATACAAAGAAACTTTAACAGATAATGGAATAAAGGTAAGTTATACTTTTTTAAAAGAATGTCGTTGTGTTCAATTATTAGTTTTAGCAATGTTTCGCGAATTCTAGTCTACTCTTATTATAAATAAAATCTGATTAGAAGAAATTCTTGTTTGAAAAAAAAATTTTAAGGTTATGGTTTTGAAACAATTTACAACTAGTATGGTTAAAAAATCTCGAATATAAAACAATACAGTTTCTGAACCATTCAAAACTAGTATGGTGTCAAACCCGTAAAAAAAAGATTGAACGGGACGGTGGAGTTAGTTTAGCACTTTTGTGGTGACGTCATTTATGCGTGAATGAGAGTATCGTATTCTAATAACCCAAGGTCACAATTTAGGAAGTACAAGGTACTGGAAACTCTTCATGTGTAGAAGGGAATAAAGGAAATATTGTTAGGCCTCAAACACCTATTTTGTTAGTCTTGAGATTGACAGATTAGTCCTCTCCTGTATAACATGTTCACATCTTCTTGGAACTAAGTAGCTTCATTAGGTGGGATTCTGATAGTTTAACCGTATTAAGTGGAAGCAGTTAATAAACAGTTTCTTCTTTTAGTTAACAGTTTGAACACCATCTTATTTACGGGTAATTTGACTGTTTTGTTTGAATACGGTAAAATAGCGATTAAATAAATTGTTATTTAATAATTTTTTTAAGAATTTTCTAACGGCTCACGACTGTCGTTAAGAACCAAGACGCAATGCAAACATTTTTATTTTGTTTGTGATAATTATGTAAACAAATGCATATTAGCAAATGCATTAAAGAAATGCAGTAATTACCATACATGATACATCCGATGAATAAAATCTGAAAACACAACAGTTTAACTCATCCTTCAATTTCGCGTTCATAACTTAAATTTGAAAATAGGAGTATTACCAGCTACAATGAACTACTTACAATGCGTTCCGAATTCCACATGAAATAAAGAATTATAAACAGAAATATAATCGGTTGAAACACTAGCTAACAATACTTAAAATATCTGAAATATAGTGATATTTAAAAAAATGTAAGACAAAAATTTCAAAACGTAAAAATGTTGTTTGAATATTGGATATTTTGCAAAAAGAAGCGTAAAAGGCATATTTGCTGCATCTCTCTTTCTTTGTTTGAAATATAATGGTTGTTTTAAAATAAAGTGGCCAATATGAAAAGGTAAAACGCGCAAAGAAGGCAAAAATAATCAAAGATCTCATCGAAAAATGTGATTAAAAACACTATCGGAACTGATAGAAAAAGAGATACTACTAAAATACTAAAATAGTTTAAGTTTAATGCAACCTTACGTATTTAAATCAAATAATTTGTGATAAAATATATTTCAGTCAAGTTGCACTCACATCTCGAATATAATTGTCACTGAATAAACTATTCTGCCTAACAAACATCGTATATTTATTAGTTACCATAAGTACAATTGAAAATTTTGAACTGAATTAGCTTATAGACAAAGAATTCATTTTCAAATTGAAATTCTATGAAATTTTACGCAACTAAATTTTATATTTAAATAGTCATGGGAATTTATGTGCATGATAAATGAACCTATTGTAAAAATAACATCAAATTTGAGTACTCTTTAACAAAGCACAGTAAAATCCACTAAATGAAACTTTCTATTTCAACTGAAATTAATAGTACATCGAAATAAAATGCTGAAAGTGCACTAAATTATTCAAAAATAGAATAAATATTATTTAATATTTTTACAAAGAAAAGGAAACTTTCATAAATATTCAATTATACAATCTAAGTCATTGAATATAAGTCATCATATGTCATAAATATTTTGCTTTCTTGCTTGAGATATAAAATAAGTTTTTCAATTGCAAAATAAACTACATCGATGTGAAGATTAAATTTTGTACTGAAATTTATTTTAAGGCAAAGAAATGAGTAAGGATATTATATTTTTGTTTATTATGAACGATATATAAAGTTACAGGATGTTTTTAGCACTATTTTTAGCACGATGTTTACAGCACTATTTTTACCTCAAAATGAAGAACGTTCATTTTTTCGTCAAAATAAATATTCTTTCTGATTTATTTAAACATTTCTTTTAAATTACTTCAAAATAATTCAATATAATGAACTTTAAACACACGTTTGGCGAAACCTCAATATTCCTTTTAAATTTTTTTTAATCACATACATGCTCTTCGAAATATTTATATTTAGGTAATTCGACATTTTTTAACTCCTAACGATAAAGTCTTAACGGCCAATAAAAATTGAGATTAATTGTGAGTAACTCTCGTAAGAACTTACTTGCGAACTTTTTATCGCAATTTGAATTATATTTCCATCCTTAAATAATTAAATAATTAATTTATTAATTTGACTTATTTTTGATTTCGTCATTTTCAGATAAGAGCGTATGCATCTCAAGACACAGTCGATAAAATTGAAGCAGCTCTAAATTGGACAAGCAAAATACTGACTTATTTTGAAAACTACTTGAATGTATCTTATCCCTTAAAGAAACTTGGTAAGTAATTATAAAGATAGCAACTCTATGTTAAATAACTAGTTAATTAGAAATTTAACATAATATTGTTTTATTTTTTCAAGAAGTTATTAACATAGTTATTTATCATAACATTCAATAATATTTTGATACATTTAGCCCCAAAATCAAATAATTCATGAATGAATATTGAAGGAAAGAAATATTTTTCATCTCTAACTCATACTTCAATTAAAAATATTAAGAAGCTATACTATACCGGTACTATGAATTAAAACAAACTGTTTTTACATAATACAAATAATTACATTTTTACATTTCTTTGCTTCAGGTTTTAAGAAAATTTTCTTTAAAATGAATAACCTTCTTCAACAACTGTTTATTGTTTCTGGAATTTTTTTTAAGAAAAATTTGATATTTTTAGTTATGCTTATAATAGATTTAATGAGCAGTAAGAAAAATAAAAATAATTCGATTCAATTTATTATCTGCAACTATTTCAATGAATAACAAAAATAAATTGCCTACCCATATTTCCACAGTAAGCGAAATGGAATAATTTAATATCTGAAAATAAATGATATCGTTTCGCATTGCACTTTTTGATACCAAAAGTTATGTTTTTTTTTTCACTCATCAAATCACTCTTGAACCTAGGAATTTTATACTTCATATTTAGAATTTTATATTCAGTTAAAACAAAAATGTCTCATAGTTAATAGCATAATCTTAAATAAAGCAATTGAAATAATTTAAATATATTTAAATATATAATCAAAGCCTGGCAGAAAACGAGCTTCTTCCCATCCAATTAATCCTGCTCCACTAAAATCTTCATTAATGCATCTTTGCCATGTTAATCTCGGTCTTCCTCTTTTTCTCTTTCCGGCAGGTCCCCATGAGCTTCCAACATTTGCAGGATTGTATCTATTTGTTCTTAGTATATGCCCGAGCAATTTCCATCTTCCAAATTTCTTCTTTAACAGATGGGATATTAGCTTTTGATAAAATGTCTTTATTTGCAAAACTATTGGGCCAGAAGAATTTTTGGATTATTTTTAAACATTTATTTTGAGAAGTTTCAAGTTTTTCTTTTTCTGATTTCCGGGAAAGAATTGAACGCACGGTAAGAAAATAACAATAATCGCAAAAAATCAATTCACATATTTCAATTGGTTCATATAAAAAATTTATGTTAATTAATTTATTTGAATTTCAACATTTTCACTCTAAAATGAGTTGTAACTTCTTATTTCATTCCAGATATTATTTCATTACCAGAGTTTGATGCCAATGGTATGGAAAACTGGGGATTAATAACTTACAAGGAACAAAGTTTGTTGGTTGATAATACATCATCAATGACCCACAAATTGAAAGTGGCAATTCTCGTTGCACACGAAGTAGCTCATATGGTAAATGGAAATTTAAATATTTCTTCATGAATAGTCTACTAAATAATATTTCTAAAGAGAAAACATTCTGTTAAATTAGTTTACTTTACAGAAGAGACTGAAAAACATAACTGAATTTATTAAAAATTTTAAGTACACTATAAGGAATAAATGCTCAAATTTCGCGAAACATTCGTTTTTGACGAAACCGCTTCCTGCTCAGAATAAAAGTTTCGTCAAAGTGAAATAATAACTGTCATCACTTCTGATCCTGGTTTCGAACCTTGAATTTTATGAATTTTTGACATAACTTCACTATTAAAATACGTAAAAATAACAAAATTTCCGTTTACAACTACCTCCTTTTCGCGCCCTCCAAAGGAAAGCTTCATGCAGCATAACAGGAAAAAAATTCTTAAACATTGTAATTTCTCGGTGGCGCAATGGATAAGAAAGTTTCTTATCTTCCGAGGCTTAACTGATCACGCATGCACATGCATGCAAACACCGCATGCCTCATAAGCATGCGGTGTTTTATTATCATGAGGTGTTTGATTTAATCCGTAAGTCAAATAGAAGTTTATTTTTATGTTTTTTTTCCTCTTTTTGCTCAATTTCAATGAGCTCTCCAGATTAATTCAGAGAGCTGGAAGTTTGCAAAGTTGCGTAGTTTAAATGTTTAATGAAGGTTGATAAATCTTTCAGTAATTTATGACTTAAATATAATCATCATAGAGAACGACTTCGCTTATATTACACAACAGATATTTTTCACTATCATCAATGCCTCTTAAGTAAAATCGTTTACTTAACTATTTTTAAAAATACTATAAAAATAAGTTTAAAAGCAGCGAAAAGATGAAAAATACAACTGATTTGTATAAAGACTGAAGCAAATTACAGCTACCATGAGTTATAACAAAATAACCTCTAAGAAAAGTCCTATTATGGCACCAGGATCAAATCGTGTTATTTATGTTATGTAAATTTAAAAGAGCAAGTTTTAGATTTCTAACCACTCGACTGATATCAAAGTAAATGTCATTTTCGTAATCGGCACCTCAAAATCCAGAAGAAGAAAAAAAGAAAATTTGTTTGAAATCAAAGTTTTGAGTTTTATTTATTTATTTATTTATTTTTGCTACATTTGGTGACATTTCTTTCTAAAATAAAAATTTTGCTCCCTTTTAACTGGAGTTGGAACGGAATTTAGCTAAAATTAGAGGACATTTGCGATACATATTGGGTTTTTCGAAAAGTAATTTTGGCTGTTTCATTAATGGAAATGAAAGATGATTTTCTTAAAGTGACTAAGTATTTTATTGAATTATATATTGTCCATTCTGATCCAATACTTTTGAAATCTTTTTGGAAGTAGCATGATTTCTTGCTCATAATTTTGTTTTTTGCTAGCAAGAACTGATCCAGATGGTTTTTAACCTCCTTATTTGAAGAAAAGGTTTTACCGTTTAAAAGATTTTGCAAGACCATTACAAATATAGTATACAAACAATTTTTCCTCCCCAGTGATATTGCTCTTCAAACTGCTCACTTTCTCGATGTTTGAGAAACAAATCATGGACGTCAACGCGACGGCACAAATTGAAAAGTATGGGGAGGCCTTGAGCAGCATGGAAGCGTTGAGCTTTGTAATAAAAACTAGGCTATTTAAATTATCATGAACATTCTAATTGGATAAATCTGAGCTCTCAGTGGTCTCACGAGTTGTTTTTTGCAGGTTTGCATCAATTATTGTGTCTTCATCAGCTTCAATTGAGCATCAAGAACGTGGTGCATCTTTTACATCAAAATTGCAAGGGCGAAATTTTACAAACCAGATTTGGCACTGGCATACTGCCTCTACATGCCTTCTCCCTATACATCACATATTTTTTTTTACTCTAACAGCATTTTTTTTCCTTTTCGATAATTAAATATAAAATATACCCCGAAAATGCTGCTTTTTTACTTTTCATGATTGTAAGATGACCAACCAAAAACTACTGCACAGAATCAATCAAACTTCTCCACAAGAAAGCCTTGTTATATCAGCTGTCAAAATATATAATGAAGACGCGGCTTAGGTGTCAAATTAGGTGCAAAAATATTTAATTGGGTTTTGGGGGAAAAAATGAAAATGCTTTCCAAACCGCCGAATAACTTGCGGCTTTCCTGATTTGAGGGCCAATTTGTGATTTGATGTATTACGTGATTATCAAAACAATTTTCAATACTTTAAAAAAACTTAATAATAATTTTACATTTTTGAAAATCTAATATGTTGTTTCTTAGTGGTTTGGAAATTTAGTCACAATGGACTGGTGGAACGAAACATGGCTCAATGAAGGATTTGCCACACATTTTGCATGGAAAGGAGCTAAGCATGTATTACCAGAATATTTTATGGTAATGAAACACAGATAGTGTTATTTTAAGTAAAAGTAACATTTTACTGACTAATTACTTATAGAACAATTTAGACTTAATTTAAACTAAAGTGGCTATTTAACTTCCTGCTATTTCAGGTGGATGATAGTGGTATATTAGATGCTTGCAATGTTATGAAGCAAGATGAAAGTATTCATACACGACCTGTCATCCGAACTGTAACTGAGGTTATGTATTCCGATGTATATAGTATCATTGTTTATAAAAAGGTAATAGATGTCTTATTTAATTTAATTTAATTTAATTTAATTTAATTTAATTTAATTTAATTTAATTTAATTCTGAAGTAAAAAAAGGTAACTGGATATCTAATCCCTATATTACTTACAGGGAGCCTCTCTATTGAGGATGCTAGAGAAGTATATAACAGAAGAGAATTTCATTAAAGGAATATCGGTAGGTCAAATTTCTTACATATAAGTTTTAATAGATAATTTTCACTTGTAAGAAAGTGGGTATAATAATTAATAAATAAGTGTCGTTTGAGTAGGAAATCCAGGAAATTACGAAACTTAATATCGCATTCTACGCTAAAATTCGCTACGTCCGCCTTCCAATGAGGTGAACCGGGTTCGAATCCCCCAAATGGCGGGTCGATACGAATCCGCATCCAGCGTGCACCGACCGCAGTGCTGACGTGAAATATCCTCAGTGGTAGATGGATTATGGGTTAGAATCCCTTTGCCATCAGGCTAACCGTGGGAGGTTCTCGTGATCTCTCCATGTAACGCAAATGCGGGTTAGTTCCGTTAAAAAGTCCTCCACGAAGACAAAATTTCTCCCAATACTTGATCCAGAAGCTCCCTTGTCTTCTGGATTGGGTTCAATATTACAAGGCTACGGAGTTGAAAATTAGAAGTTGTGAACCCAGAATTTGAGTCGGCTGTTCAACGAAAGTGAAGACGATTTCATATTTTTCCCTTACTGATGCTTTTCACTGATGTTTCTGTAAGCTAAATTTCCGAAGAACCATTTCTCGGTATACACTTATTTTATGTTTTTTCGGAAGACTCACCGCTATGACAATCTCAACACTTATTGTATTTTCAATAAACATATTACAGCTTACATTGTAAAACCATCCAAATATGTATGATATCTAGATTGAATAACTTTTATTAACAAAATAGTTACATTAAAAAAAATACAGCTTAATTAGCTGCTTAAATTTCGCAAAGCACGCCTTGAAAATACTAAATAAGCACTACATTAGTAGCTATTTCGACACGCAGTTTCCTCAACATTAAGCAATTCCGAAATTTAGACATTTAATCTCGAGAAACGTTTTGCCACAGATTTCATCATAGAAAGAAAAGATCTCTTCAAATAAAAAAAATAAGAATAGATAAACCATGTACCATTTCTATTTCGCCTGCATCCTTTTGATAGTACACAATTGGAACAAAGAGATTGTAACAGAAGCTCTGGAAACAATAAATCTGGGGAAAATCCAAGGAATTGTTGCGAATGAGAATTCTTACAACGGGAAGAGAAATGTAAGAGGAAACATTTCTTTAATTCAAAGCTAATTCAAAGCAAATGAATAGATTTTTATTTCCGAAAAAACATCAAAACATTGAAAAATCTAATGCGAAAAACCGAAAAAGTGGTTTTTGAGGAGTAGTAGGGTAAAAGCTATAATGGAATTACAAGTAAAAAAAGAATTATTCAAAAGAAACGAGTTAAAATAAATGAATTAGAAGAAACGAATTAAAAGAAATTATTAATTAATTATCAGAACTAGAACGAATTAGAAAAAAATTCGTATTTGCTTAATTTTCGTTACTTATACAAATTAAAATTCTTATCATGGAACATAGGCATTAAAAATATAGACATTGTACTCATATCTCTCACTTAGTTTATCAATTACGTGGTTAATTCGATTCCTGTGTAGAAAAAAATCGTTGCGACTATTGAAGGTTTCCATCATGTAATCCTTAATAAAATTTATATTATATTATAATATTATAGTTCTTACTCCTAATACTCTTCTCTTACTCCTAAGAACATCTTTTCATTTTGAATGCTGTGCAGTGTGCACTAAAAAGTGAACAAAATAAAAAAATTTTCATTTCAAGACTCAAGCTTATAAGTTCGAGGTCCTATCTTTAAAAATGCTCATTAATTAGTGCAGAAGTTATTTTTTGTTATGAAACCTCACAAATATATTCATTTTCCCTCAATAAAAATATCTTTTTTTTAAGTGAATTTGAATTCGTAAATTTAAGAGCCAGGGAAGCAATCGCAATATAAAAAATACGCTCCCTATAGTTGAATAAGAAAAGCGGTTTAAAGATTAGAGCTTTAAATATTATTTTGACTTTTTGTGAATTTACTTTTTTCAAGGAAGAGGTATATTAAAAAAAATTAAATAATAATCGTTGAATTATCTTAAAAATTTAAGTTTTCTTTCAATTAGTTCCAGAAATATAGAAAAAAAACTCAAAGAGTGAAGTTAGTATTTGCGAGTTTAAACTTTCGTCCACTCTCTTGACCTACCGAATAATATTAACTAGATTGCGGTATCCTCGTTAAATTTCGAAGGCCCAAAACATGAATCCGTCGAAGAAAATGCATGTTTTTCTAAGAAAGTACGTTTTAGTACTTGATTTTGCTACTTTAAATGTAGTGTGCACTACTTAACCCTTTGCTTACGGCTGGTACAATATGTGGACCACATGTGACGGTACAACGGTACACCGTAAGCAAAGTGTTAAAGATGGGCACTCGAGCCATTAAAATTGAGTCTTATAGTGCTTAAAAATCTGATTATTGGAGGAAAAATCATTTTGGCTGTTCTCTTTTTTTGCGCACTATATATCAAGAAATAAATTCTATACGGAATAATTTTTAAACTATTTTAAAAATTTTCTCTCCTTAGTTTTTTGTAAAATATCTTTTAAGAATAAAATAAAATTTATTTTCTTTAATGTAACGAAAAATGTAAGCGTGTATTAAAATAGTAATTTATTTTATTATATAGGATTAACATGAATTCGCAACTGATCTTTTCTAACACTAAAACGAATGAAAACTGTGTAAAAATATATTATTTTCAGCTTAAGTGTTTATTTTAGTTTTTGTAATGCAATATGTATATAGTTTTGCATGCTGAGAATTACCTACAATAGAAATAACACGTTCCTTAAAAGAAACAACTTAAAATAATTTTTACCAAAGGAAAATTTGGAAATTTGTAGTAAACACAATTCAAAACAGAATTGTTCATTTTCAATTTTTTTTTCTCTCTTGTAATTTGTAAGTAACTGTATCAAAATTTTTTTACAAAATTTTCTTTTTATATATATAAAAAATCTATTATCACTGAGAAACCGAGCATATGTCGAAAATAAGAATGACTTTAAAATTGCATTAACATATTTTACATAATGCATATGTAATGATCTGAAAAATTGTTATCTTAGAAATATCTAACGAAGCATGCTTATGGAAATGCGGAAACAGAATACTTATGGCTTGAAATAAATGAGTTCACCATTGAGCAGGTGAGATCGTAAGTACGTTTACATGTCTTACGTCATTTAATTCATCTCTCAATGCATACGTGATGATAATGATTACGTCATTTAATTTATCTCTCGAAAACATAGCTTTTTCCTTCAGTTATTTCGTGCTTATATACCTTAAATAAATGACACTTCAAAGACAGTTACTAAAAAAAATTCTTTCTATGTAAACTATCTATGAGATGTATTATAAATAGTAACAAAAATTATGATTTTCTTTCTATTATAAATGGTATAATCAGTGAATTTTGCATTTCTTTAAGAATTTAAAAAATATATTAAAGAAAATATGGAAAAAAGAATCCAAAAGTATAGAGATTTTAAAATCTTTTCCCCGTTTAATATTTAAAATAAATTTTCCTTAAATTTTACTTTGTAATAACGTTCATTTCTTAAATTCCCAGACATCTTTTAATCTAAATAATACATTTTTCTTAGGATTACTTAACTAAAAGAGATTTTTGAAAAAAAGCAGGACATTTATATTTCTTCAAATTTAGCTTAGTTAACAATGCACAAACATCTGTAGACTCTAAAGTGGTTTCAAAAGTTATTTTCAGAAGAATTGTTAGCCATTTAAAGTAAACTTTAAAATAACCATTTTACCGTAAAATTTTATACAGTAATTTTTACAGTAATATTTATTTAATAGCAAAGCAAAAATTTAGTAATCTTACAATAATATTTTTTAATTACAGAAATTCAGTGAATTTACAGTAATATTTATTTAATTGCAGAAATTCAGTGATTTTACAGTAATACTTATTTAATTACAGAAATTCAGTGATTTCACAGTAATATTTATTTAATTACAGAAATTCAGTGGTTTTACAGTAATATTTATTTAATTACAGAAATTCAGTGATTTTACAGTAATTATTGCTATAAAAATTACGGTATATTAGATTTTTTTGTTCCGTATATTTTTACCTTTATAAGAACTGACACCTTGAGTGCCGGTACCTTTTACCGGAATTTGATCCGGAATTTTTTACAGTAAATGAGCGAAACGTTTATTTGTAACTCACATAAAACTATTTATTCTATACATTCATATAGAGCAAATTATGCTTTTTTAAATATATTTTAAAGGCTTCGTGTATAGCTAAATAAAGATATAGAAATTTAGAAATAGGAAAAAATTGTTCGCACGTATAAAAAAATAAACACTTTGTAAACTATTTCGATTAATAGAGACATAAAATCGAAAGAGTTTCAAATGATTGATGCTCTATTGCATTTGCAATTGCATATTGCATTTTAAAAAGTAACTTAAAATTGACCTATGGCATAAGTGGTGACTGATCCATGATAAATCTGTCGGGGTCACAAAATCCTCCAAGTCCCCATAAGAAATCAATACCTCTAAGGGTACTGAATTGGGTATTGATCATTCTCTGGCTCAAATCAAAATTACAATCTGTGGATAAATGAATGAATATATGAGAGCGTCCTCCCTGTACAAGGGGCTGTTACTTGTGTGTAGGAATGAAATCATATTCTTGGCCATAGATGGAGCCGCTAGAAAACAAAAAGTGCATAAATTCACTTGGTTTTAAAGGCGTTGCTGTCATGGCAAGTAAGCAATAGAAACAACAACAAAACAACTGGTCATAAACATAAATTTTAGACTTTAAAAATATTAACATGCTTTACATATTTTTACTACCATAATAATAATAATAATTGTCATTATTATTTTTCAGGGAATAAATGTATCCAGACTAATGCACTCATGGCTTACTGCAAGCAATTTTCCTTACATTAATGTCAGTTGCAGAAAACGAAATAGTTGCCAGTGTAACTTATTTCAGAATCGCTTTCTATTGGATCCGCTCAGCAAAGAGTCCACCCAAAATCAATCGCACCAACGGTAATTGGAAGTAAAAAAAATCTAATCGAGATCAGTAAAATGTAACATTATTGGAGAGAATAATACCTACAGATTTTTTTGCAATGAAAAACGGGGAAAGTAAATTAACATGCCTACTCTTATTTTAGATTTATATGGGACGTGCCATTATCATATACAACATCTGAGTCAAACGCTGTAGAATATATATTATTCGACTCAAAACAAAAAGGTTAGTATATAACTAGCAATTCCTAATCCGAACCATGTTTGGATATGCATGTTTATATAAATATATAATAAAATGATACTTAAAATGGAAAAAATATAATTAATTTTTTCAAATATATGTGTTTTAGCTTTTCCTTGCAACCAAACAAAATGGATAAAATTTAACAGCCAATATTCAGGATATTATTTAGTTAAGTATTCGGAAAGGGATTGGAAGCAGTTTATCCGCATTTTGGCAAGAAATTTAACGGTGAGTAACTTGTCCTACGTTGTGAAGTCTGCCTAAAATATAAATCTGTAATATTAAGCCTTTAACTTTAAAAAGAAATATTCATAGTGATAAAAGTTTTCAAAATTTAGAAAAATGTCATAGAAATGCTTGGCCACGTAAGGATTTATATTTTTTGCCAAAATTTCGAAGGAAATATTCATAGAAAAGTGGACTCGAATTCGAAATTTTCATTAAAAATTTGTGCTTGCAAGTGCTGAAAGAAAAATATTGAACAAATTCATTTATTTTAGTAGATTTATTTTTGGAAAATAAATTGTTTTTTTTATTTAGCATGAATCTCAACCACACAGGGGGGTAATAAACACTTATTTTATTGTTAGTTTTACCAAAAGTGATTAACGGAGAGCTTCGGTAAAAATATCGTGATGTTTGGTGTCCCCATAAAAAAATAAATCCGGTAAATTTTAACACATTCCGGTACTCTTGTCCATACTTTCATCTTATTGTCCTAGCTCCCCAGAATGCTTAGAGTTTGTCAGCTGAACTTTTTTCTTCAAAAATAAGATATAATATAATGTTATTTTAATTACGTTACATTCAATGAAAAGAAGACAATTTATGATCCTATCGATGTATAATTAGAAAATCCTTGTTTCATAAAATATAACTTCATCATTGCAATGCTACTTCTTCATAAATTCATAATAATCTTCCTTCTTTATTTTAATATGACAATATAGTGAATAAACTATATTTTGACTAACATTATTCTTACAAAAATCCTCCTTCCTTATTTTAACGAAACATTATTTAAGAAACTGAATGCTGAATTTCGTCATTATTATTTATAGGTCTTTAACAAAACTGATAGATTGAATTTGTTGTTTGATGCTTTCACCCTAGCTTCCCATGGAAAAATAAACTATAGTATTCCTTTAAATTTATCTCGATACTTGAAAAAAGAAGATTATCACAGTGTATGGTCAGTATACCACGAATTTATGAGTACAATTAAAGGATATTTATCTGATGACAAAAATGGTACGACAGCTTTAAAAGTAAGTAATTTACTTACGTTTATTATTCTTCAAGAGTTTACTGTTTCTGTAAAAAAATACTATTTTGATTCAAACAAAAATTCAGGTACAATAACTGATTACTAAAAAATTTTATGACATCAATTGTATACCATCAATCATATGTTTATGTTTATCCGCGTCATTTTTCTTTTTATATAACATATTTTGCCTTATTGTATGAGTTTGTCATGACGGATGCATGATTATCAAATTTCAAGTGATACAATTCAACAAAAAACATGCGAATTTTATTTGAAATGGCAAATACAGTTCTGACTCACTGAAAAATCTTTTAAGCCCTTACGAAATTTAAATGTTAATTAACTAAATTGTTGCAGTTTTCACATAAATTGAGAGGATGCATAGGAAAAAAACTTATTAACTTATATAGTCTCTAAGATCAGTTAAATAATAAACAATTACAAAAATATAAGTTATACTAAAATTAATGTTATTGTCACACTATATCATCTATTTTTAACGTAATTTTTATTCATTTATTTTGTTTATTTCAAAGTGTTTTCGCGTGTTACATTAACTAACATAGTTTCATATGCTTAAAAAATAGTTTTAACACTTTCATTAGTTATCCATTTAGCAAGTATCTGGAACTTCAGGTAATCATAAATAAATGAAATTTAAAATAAAAACAAAGTTTTCATTAAAAAAGTAATAATACAAATGTACTTTTTCTTGCCTTAATAATACTATATTTCAATGGAAAATTAGATGTTATTCTATAGCAATTTTACCTATAAAAGTTTTTCCGTGCTTTTTTTCCTAATTATTTTGCTGTATTCGATTAATTATATTTAACTAAGTTTAATATATAATTGAATACATTGAATTTAATTATTTCTTTTCCGGCAAAATAAAAAGAAAACTTGTTTTAAAAGGGCATTTTTTGTAGATCTATACTAGAAAACTAGCCAAGCAACTATACAGCAAATACCGATGGAACAACGAAGGCAACTTTCTTGAAAAGTAGGTTGTTGTTGCTTTTTTTTAATTTTAATTGGGTATAATATAGCCTACGTCACAGGTTGTGTTGTTCCTACTAAATTTAACCCATGAACGGCATTTTCTGCGAGCCTAACTTCAAGCCACAAATAAACAAACGAAGTGTTCGATCGTTTAAATAGCTGCTCGCCAGATTTTATTGCATTATAAAGAAAAATTATTGAAACTAAATGCAACTAAATAAACAACAACAACTAAAACAAATAACAACTAAAACAAATAACAACTACTAATAACAATAACTAAATAAACAACAACTAAATTCCATTCGTTTAGCATTGCGTCATATGTTGTTCCTACTAAATCGAAGTAGTTGTGTTTTTTTCATATTATACCCAATTGTCTTAAATACCAATCAAAAAATATCTATTTCTTTTTCAACATTTCAATTGCATGAAAAGATTTTGTAAAATTGCAATATTTTCAAGCAACATTATGAGGCAACAATTCAAGCAACATTATTATTTCAGAAAAGCAGTAGTATTGCCAATTGATTTTTCTTGATTTAAGCAAATAATCACATGAATTTTATTTAGGAGTTCAGATTCCTTACCGGGAAAATTCTAAAAAAAAGAAATTTATGAAACTACAGATAATGGCTGTCATTAAAATGAAGTAATACATAAAAATCATAAGATAAATTGATAAAACAGCATTTAAAGGAATAGAAATTTCTTCAAAAAATGATTTTTTAGTGAAACTTTTTTAAATAATGAAACTTGACATAACTTTTAAAAAATAATAAACTTAGGAATATTCCAGAATTTAACAAAAACCTCGTTTTAATTTTTTCTAATGGATCGCAGCTTGTGAAATCTGTCAAACTTTTTTGTTCAACATTATACAGCACATTTAGAATGCAACTCCCCATATGAAGTATTGATCAGACAGAGAAAGTGAGTAAAAATGTGTACAATACATGAAACTTAAATTATTATCTGAAATTAAACTTCCATATACAAATGAATTCGATCTCAAAGAAAGAAGAAGCGTTAAATATTTAGGAATATGTTGATAAGTAATTTCTTCTTATCAACATATTACATTTTAAGTAAAAATTGATAAAACTGTCAATGCATGTGTGTACAAATCTAATAAGCAGAACAAATTAGTATGCTGCCTTGATTAAAATCACGGAAAAGTCTAAAAATGCCCATTTTAGTTTGTTTTTTGTTTGTTTTCTTAAATAAATTCTTGACAACCTTAAATGTAAAATTCAATCCAATTAGAAAATTTCCCGTAATACAAAAGGACAATTAGAATGCATAGATATAATTTTACCAGTTTTGATAATTGAAAGAATTCAGGCAATGTAGCGATATGCATTTTTCTTTACTTAAAGAGTCATTTTTGCACTAAACTTTTTCTAGTGTTGTTTTCAAATAAGTGCTTTAAAACTGTTTCGGTATTTTAATTAGGTGGCAGGACAATACACAAAAATAACTGATTGCCGACATTGGTATTGTGGTATTTTTCATCAATAATGCTTTCCAGAACTATTTGAAAATATGCCTCATCATTAACTTGACCCAAAAGTCCTCATTTATACATTTTATACTGTAAAAAAAATATGTGTATTCCAACTACCAAGAAATAAGTTTTTTCTTACATTAGTATTTTAAAATAGCTGAAATATGACCCCTATTATTTGTAGGATGAATGATGTTTTTTTTCTGTATACTGATTGTTAATGCAAAAAATATCCCTCTTACGTTTATTCATACTAAATATCACGTTAATCGCATTAATTTTAAAACCGTTGAGCAGCCGATATCCTATTTTGGGGTTATGACTGCTAATGCTCAATTCCCAACCTTGTAATTTCAAACCCAATACAGAAGACAAGGGAACTCCTGGATCAAATATTGGAAGAAAATTGCGTTCGTAGAGGACTTTTTGATGAAACTAACCACATTTGCGTTTCATGGAAAGAAGGAAACTACGAAAAACTCCCGTGGTTAACCTGACTGCAAGGGGACTCTAACCCATGATACGTCTCCCACTGAGGATATTTTTCGTCAACACTGTGGACGGTGCAAGCCGACCACAGTGTTGACGTAAGGCATTCGTATCTACCAGCTATCCCTGGGATTCGAACTCGGTTCATCTTATTGGAAAGCGATAAATCTATCTCCTGAGCCCTCACGGGTCATTTAAATATATTGGTAATTTTATGTAAATTATCATTTAATATTCTCATTAATATTTCAAATATTCAACTACTAATCATGATTTAAATTTCTCGCTCTCGTTGAATACTATTGGGTGTACAAATTAGTTCGGTCCGTTTTTAAAAAATGGTTCTGCTGTTATGAATGTTATATAGTGACAGCTGGTTTCGGGGATTTCAGAGAGGTTAAACATCTGTCAATAATATTCAGTTTATATCGTTTTGAGTTTCACACAAAAACCCTGTTTTTCACTTTGTTGAATATGTCAAATTTTGTGGTAATGAAGCACCATTTGCGAGAGGTTTTATGTTTCTGCTTTAATTGGAAAAAAAGTGCAGCTGAAGCGCATCGAATGCTTGTAGAAGTTTATGCTGACAATGCTCCAACAGATAAATCATGTAGGGAATGGTTTCGACGTTTCAAGAAGGGTGAATGGTGAATGAAGAATGGTAAATGGTGAATGATAAATGGTGAATAGTTTTGTATACTATGAGCTGCTACAACCTGGAGATTCCATTACGGGCAATCGGTATTCGTTGATTCATTTGAGCCGTGCATTGCGAGAAAAAAGGGCGGAATACGAGCAAAAACTTGACGAAGTTATTCTTCTCCATAATAACGGTTTGCCTGCTGACTCAAAAATCTTAAAAAATTATTTGGAAACGTTCAAGTGGGATATTTTACCGCACCCGCAGTATTCACTAGCCATTGCTCCTTCTGATTACTGGTTGTTCCGACGGATGCAGCATGATTTTGCAGGTCACCAGTTCACTTCTTTCGAGGAAATCGGCTCCTATCTTGGATCACCTCAAAAGACGAGACATTTTTTCGAGATGGAATTCGAAAATTGCCTGAGAGGTGGGAAAACGTAGTAGCCAGCGATAGACAATATTTTGATTAGTCTGTTCATTCCTTTTGTTCGGAAATAAATGCATTTTTGACCACAAAGAAACGGACCGAACTAATTTGTGCTCCCAATAATTTTATTAAAAATTTGCAATTCAGTATTATAAGGCATTTATATTAAATGTGCGTTTCTTTTTCTTTATAAGAAACCTAAGAAGAGAATTGATTAAAGCAATATGTGGTAACAACGGCCGAGTTTGCATGGAAACAGCAGCTGATGCTTACAAGAAATGGATGATTGGTGAAATGTATGAAAGTTTATTTCTTTATGCCCCTTCCATAAAAACAGTTTAAGTAACTTTTTATTCTTTTGAAATATTACTTTGAAACTACGGCTATTTAAAAAATTTCTAGAATCAGAATTTTACCTTTTGCAGGCCTAATCCGGAATTTGCGGAATTGGTGTATAAATGTGGTTTGAGCAAGCTTAATGATGAAGTTTCCTTCAATCACATGTGGAATAAATATTTAAATGAATCAAATCCATTGCTGAAAGAACAATATCGAGATGCATTATCACATGTTGGAAATTCTTCAGTACTTAAAAGGTTAAAATGAAGTAANNAGCTTTTATATATATATATATATATATATATATTTCTATGAATTGAGCTGGAATAGAGAAAAAAAATATTTGTGTCCATTACTAGGACGTTGTTCTTTCATATCTTATTTTGAGTAAATTAAGATCTAAAACAAAATGATAAAATTTGTCAAGTATTTAAAGATTACATAAATTATGTATCTGAAGATGATATAAATTCTATAAGTAATAAGAGCGATATTTTGAAAATTCTCTTGAAAAAAGGAATTTTGATTGCGAAGTAATTTATTTTATCATTTTACAATTAGCTGTTAATTGAGTTAAAAGTTTAACCTACTGAAATCATATTTATTTGAATACCAAACTGAAAGAAAATAGCCAAATTTAAAACTGGTCGTATGCATTATTTCATTCTGAAGTAAACAGACAGAAAGTCATTTTGACCATTAGGGTATTATTTCCTTCTGAAGTAAGCAAATAGAAAATCATTTTGACCTCAACGTTTTATTTATTTTAAATCAATGCATGAAGAATATAATTTCTCAAATGACATGACAAAGTTAAGTGTTTTTTTTTGTATGTTATTCGTTTTTATATTATAATTTTAATGAGCTTATATTCAGTTATTATGATTATTAATGTTTTATTTATATTCTATTATTCCGGCTGACGTGTATTGAAGACTAAACTTCAAATATGTGTTTCAGAAAGAGGTCCGAAAATGCTCTATGCTTCTCAAATTAAGATGCAAATACAAAGTAATTATAAGTAATTTATTTACAAAGCACTTAAAAATGCAGTGTCTAAAAGAAAGCGCTGTGTTTCTGGCTTTATGGGAGCACCAAAAAGCTCTATAATTTTATCTAAGTGCTTTAGTATTGATCTTGTAAAAATTAAAAATAAAATATGGTTTTATAATATACGATAAAATTTCGTAAATGTGATGAAATTTGGTAATTTTATGATGATGCCAACATAAAATTAATTTATTCGGTTATATTTTTCAGGTTATAATTTATTTTTTATTTATTTCTCAGTGTAGTATTTTTTTACTGAATATGTGGTAATAATTAAAAATCCAAATTCCTGGTAAACCGTTACTATATTTACGGAAAAATTATCAAATGAATGGTTTACATACCGTATATTTTAGTTTTAGTAACCAAAATTATGTTTGTTTTTTTACCAGAAATGCCAGTACCATTCAGTATGCTAATTTATAAAAAAATAATTTCCCTTCCAAGGAGATTTTTAACTCAAATACTTGATAATTTATTTATTTTTTTTTTATTTTTATACATTCATTTAACTTTTTAAAACTAGCTATGTGCTTTAACTTTATCCCCTTTATCTAATACCTTGAATATGTAATATAAATAAATAGTTATAATGTTATGAAAGTCTTACGAGATAAATATTTTTCTTATCATGAAACATATATGTTTTCCACGAAACAGGCTTTTAACAGACTGCATGGACAGAAGATATTTCAGACTTTCTTGGCAAGTCCCCATGATTAAGTCAATTGCTGGAAATAGTAAAGGTTTCTCTTTAGTGTCTTCGTATATTATCAATAAGTGGAATGATTTAGTAAGGTAATGTAAATGCATTTCTATTTTTTTTCTGATCTGTTTATTCGTATTCTGATTTCGTTTTGAAATTTTTCTTACGATGATGTTCTCTTATCTTATTATATATTTAGAAAATATGGAGAGGAACAATCTGAAAACTTAGCAGAATTTGTATTCAGTAAATACCAAACCGAGAAAGATTTACTACTGGTAATAAAAGAAAATTATTTATATATTATTTCTCTTGGCTTTAGTTTTGTTAAATGGAGAAATTTGAAGTATTATTTGAGAAATAATATTTCAAATTGAAATAAATAGATGGAAATAGAAATTTGGTGTTATAATTTTTTTCTGGAAAAGGAAACAAATATTGAATAAATACTGAAAAAGTACTAAAGTAAAAATAACATTAACATGGTTTTTCAAGGCTCTTTTACCAAGGAAATTTTTTAAAAAAAGCCTCGATTTAAGTGCTGTAGTCTTGAAGAAAAGCTATAATTTTAAACTATATACGCTCTTTTCTGTAAAGAATTATCTGGGCCTTAAAACTGACAAATAACTAAAATATTCTTAAAAGTTATAAAACTTTTATTGAAAAATTATCAAAATCAATGTCCGATTCAAATGTTTGCAATTTTTTTTTTGGATCCTAGATAATGCGGCATTGGAGTAAGTTTTTAAATATCAAAAATTTGACAATAAACGTTTAAAATTTTTCCCAAACTGTAGTGTTTCTCCATATTGAAGTTTTGTGCCATTTTTATAATAAGCACTGACAGCTCTTGCTAAAGAAAACTTCAACAGTCATGAGTAACTATTGCAAATTCACATAAGTTTTGAAAATAACATATCATTAGCAAAAAAGCATCATTTCATGTGATTACAGAGCAGTCTTAAAGGCATATAAGCTACCAGTCGCTCTATTGGCTAAAGTATTAGGAAGATCATTTTTTTTAACAAAGTTACAACTAATTTCATAATCCGCAAACAAGACACTATCTCTTTAATCAGAAAAATGTTTATTTTTGTGACTGAAAAATAAAACATGACGCATCAACAGCATCGCTAATAACATCAATCGGATCTTCTTTATCTGATACCGTCAATTAGAGTTACTTTAGTGACTTTTTCAATTTTCATCATCTCCCAATTCAAGAGCATTTACTTTTAAGATTAATGTACGTTTTAAAATTTTTATCTAAGGTTACACTCTATGTTTACATGCGTTAAAGTTCACTTAACCATCCATGTTAAAGACAAAATGAACTGTAAGAAACTGTATCTTAAGTTGCTCTTTATGGGGTGATTAATTAGTTTGTGCACAAGGAACCAAAAAAAGCCATACTGCACACTGCCTTTGGTATCAGCCAAGTTGATTCATGTATGATTCAGATAAAGTATCCAGTGTCTTAATATAGTCGTTCTAGTGACGGAGTATATTTTAAAATAGAGTGACGCCAAGTAAATAAGGTAGTTAAAGCCAACAACAAGACTTGAATTTTTGTTTAATGGAACTATAGAAAACTCAGCACATGTCCCTAAAACATTTCTTACCAAATTTATTTTTTTATATTTTAGTATGTTTAGTGCCTTGTATATAAAGGGACACGATGTTTATTTAAGATATAATTTCAGTTAACAAGTTCAAATAGAAAAGTACGCCCTAATCTACTGTTTGTTAATGGATGTACTTTGGGCAAAGAAAAGGGAGCACTTTCAATAATTTTTATTCTAATGAAAGGATTTTCATGCTCTTGGAATAAATAATCCTATTGGCTCGAGACTTAAATAATCCTATTGGCTCGAGACTAAATTTAAATAAGCAATTTGATTTGTTTAAACGATATTTTAAGTTTCGAAGCTTTACGAAATCATGCACCTAAACACGCTTTTTTTTAATAAACATACCTTTTTTAGGATGTTTATTCAAAGAAACTGATGTGGGGACTAGCCGCAGTGTGTCCCTAATATTTCAGGCCGGAGAGCAGATGAAAGTTTGGACCCTTTAAAGTTAATTTCACTTGTTATGTATTTCACTACGACTCGAAACTTTTTTATGGAAATCGAAAAATTTTTGCATGAAATTAGTTTATGTAAAATTAATTCCATGTAAAATATAATTATTATTTCTTTTTCATTAACTTCTCTAATAATTATCGAAAACATCTTGAATTGTATGGTAAACACATATTTACATCATTTTAAAATAGATAATTTTAAATGACACAATACAAACTTTGAACAAAATCTATCTAGCAGTTTCTGAGTTATTTTTATTTAAAAAGTTGTAAATTTGAAATTTGATTAGTCGGGAATTATTCGACCGATTTCATCTTAATAGGGTGGCGAGTAGACAGATAAAAAATGGAAATCTTATATCCCTTAAATACTATCAGCTGACGTTAACTACCATTTAAATTGCCTTATTTTAAAAAAAAAAAAAATTTTAAAAAAAAGAAAGAAAGAAAGAAACTTTAAATGATTCATTTATTTATTAAATTTACTAATTTTTTTTTCTTGCATTAATTATCTTGACTTTAAACCTCCGGAAACTGCTAGTACAGCAATTATAACCTTTTTTTTTGTTATAAAAATATTCGATGTATGAAAGACAAATATTAATTCCTTGTGATTAAATATTTGTTATGTCTTCAACATAATATGTTTCTCATCATAACATGTTTCTTAACCTATCAAATATTTATTTTTTTTATAAAAGTCAAGATTTAAGTACAACTGTTACATCAGCCATCTACAAAAGGTTGATTGCCATTACCTATGCAACCACTGATTTTTAAATTTACCTACTATTTTCAAAAAAAAAATTAATTTTCCTTTATTACTGATGTCGTTGAACTGCAGACCCAATTTAGGGTTTACAGCAACTAACGTTCAACTCCGTAGCCTTGTAATTTTGAACAAAATCCAATGGACTAGACAACTCCAGGATCAAGTATTGGGAGAAATTTGCCTTTGTTCGTTGAGAACTTTTTGATGGAACTAATCCGCATTTGCGTTTCATGGAGTGGAAAACTACGAAAAACACCCACGGTTAGTCTGACGGCAAAGGGACTCTAATCCATGATACGTCTACTACTGGATATTTTACGTCAGTACTGTGATCGGTGCAAGCCGGCTGTGGAACTCGTATCGACCAGCCGTTGCTGGGATTCGAACCCGGTTAATTTCATTGGCAGGCAAATGCTCACCACGGCTCGAAAAAAAAATATATATATAAAGAAACTTAGATTAATTATTCATTTTTGTTTTACTCGTTTTAGTTACGTTGGCTTTTACAGCTATGATAATAGAATTATAAGCGCCAAATAAAAATAAAAATCTTATGTAATTTTTTATCGCGTAACGTGATATTCATTATCGTTTGTTTCATTCTGTTGTTTTTTTCCACCTACACAATAAATTGACATTTAAAACTGAGTTTTTTCCTCTGTTTTATAACAAAGAAGAGTAAACTGGGCAGATTGATAAAGTTCATTCCTCTTTGTAGTGTCCCTAGAGAAGAATCAACCATTTGCAGAGAGACGAAGAACTAATGAGAGTAATAAAGGAAAATTAATGAAGCTTATTTTGGCGTGGGCCAAAGTTTTCTTTGTTTTATGAGGCGTAATCAGTGCCATGAGTGAAGCACTAAATAACAATTCTGCTTATGAGAGAAACTGTTATGATGCTTACTTAGTTATATTCTATTATTCCGCTTGTTTGAGTTTTCATGACTCCATGCAATGAATTTTCTTCCTCTAAATTGCATTTTTATAAGAGTCTGAGTTTTGTTTAAACTATTCAAATAGATAAAGATGAAATTCTATTTAATGCTTATGTATATAATTAGCGTTTATTATATTTACTTTTTCTTTTGGAAAAACTTATTTATATTATTATTATTTCAACTGAAACAATTTTAAACTAGATTGAATGACCTTTCTTAGAATAGTTTTAAATAAAGAGAATTTAAAACCTCAGAAATTTTGTTAACAATTTACTTCCATGCAGACATTTATACCTTAAAACAGAACTTGATGCATTTAAGCTGCATTTTATTTTTATTATCAGAAATTAAAATGTTTTAGCCTTTATTTTATAGCAATTTTAATTTCAAAGAGTGTAATTAAAGTTTAATTGAATATATACGAATGAAACGGGATGCTTAGCTATTCAAAATTAGTAGAATATGCATGATAAAGTCAGTGAAAAAATACAAATATTTGTAAGAAACTTACAACTATGGAATTACTTGTACATTTAAATTATCAATATTGTCTCATAATAATTATTAATTATCAATATATTTTAATGAAAATTAAAAGAAAACTTCATTTTTATCAAAATTAATACTAGTTTTATTAGCATTTTATCAATATAATTTATTAATTTTGAATATATAAACGCACGAAGAGTTATAAAACTTTAAAAAGAATTTTTCAATATTTGTAATACTACGATTTTATCTAAATTAAATTATGATAGCAATAATTCATGCATTTAGCTGGCAATTTGTATTGCTTAAAATAAATAGAATTTGATAGACATTAAAGTACTGAATTAGGGAAAATAAAGATACTTGGCCCAGATATACATCCTCTGAACTGAGTGCAAAGAAATAAACTTATGCTGTTGTGAGTGTAAATAAAAATAACGATGATAAAAATACTACATGTCGCAATACGAAATGGGGTCAGAACCGTGACGTCAGAACTGGCATTAAGGCTGTTTTTCGAAGGCTATTCTTTTTTGTGAACAATATGTTATTTTCATAACTGCTACGAGTTTTCAACAGTTATTCATGACTGTTAGGTTAAGTTTAGTCTATTTATGGCCAGCACTCTCTATGTTTGCTTTGAAAATGGTGCAAAATGACAATACGGAGATAGACTGCTATTTTGTGATAAGGAAAAGCGTTTATGGACTAATTTTTCATTATTTAAAAGATGATCTATTTTCTGGGTTTCTAAAAAATTCCACAAAAATGAGGATAAGACATTGTTTATCATTCTGTAAGTCAAGGAGGGGAAATGTCTCTGAATCGGCGATTTTTTAAAAAGTTTATTAACTTTTAAATATTTTAGTTATTTGTTCATTCCAAAACCCTGATTATTCTTCAAACAAGATGGCATATATACTTCAAAATTATAGCTTTGTACCAAGCGTAAGGTGCATAAACTGAGGCATTTTTATTTTACTTGGCGATAGAGCTTCGAAAAACTATATTTTATGAAAAAAAGGAGAAAAAGACTCGATTGCAAAGAGGTCAAACATACATGTCACCAGGTGGCACGTAACTAATATTTCAGTCGACAGTTTCAGTTGAATTACAACATTCTTTGACAGTATTTAAAAAAAAAACAACTTTTTTACGGCCAGCATTTGCAATCATAGGCGGATTCAGAAACAAATACGTTTTTCAATGCTTTTTGATATTTTCCAGGATATAAAGCTGAGTATGATACCCCCTCCACCACTATGGAAGTACATATTGTAGAAGAGGTCTATAAAAAATTTAAAATATCTAACTCGTTGTATTACTTAACACAAAGGATTCTGTTCTGCTTTAGTTTTAAATTAAACTGAAAAGCTTCTAAAAATTTGCGAAAGAACCAGAAATAATATTAAATCACGGTTTAACTAGCACCCTAATCAAAAAAGATTCGCCCTCTCTGCCCCTTGTTGTCATGAAACTCATATTTTATGAAAGAAGAAAAAAAACAATTTCTGAAAACAATGATTTTAGAAATTTTTTTTTTCATATCTATTTTGTGAGTATTGGTTAATATTGATTATGAATGGTGCTCTTTACACTAAGGGGCGCCTTGCTGTTTACGGCCTATACTTCCGGGTTACTGTTTTTGGTGCATTTTGAGGCCATTTGGCTTACTACGTGTTCATTGTGTTTTGAGACTGTCTTGAACAGTATTTCTTGTAAACATATTGCTTATTGTTGCCTGATTTATTATTCATGTTTAAAATCAATAATAAGTTCTAAATTTAAAACTAAGTGGCTTTTGCTGTGTAGCAAATAATTGAAAACTTAAAATTTGAAAAAAAAATTATCGTTATAAAGCGAAAAATTTACCAATTTGAATCTAAATGGTAATTTGAAAAATCGACGTCTCGTAGCTCGAACAATATTAAAGCACTAACGTATGATGATGCTCAGCTTGCAAAAAGAACCAGCACTAATAAGCAAGTAAAAAGAGGTCAAATCAGGACAGCCAAAAAAAGGGTGTTCTTTCGAAATATAGCAACAATGTCATCTTCTTTAACAATATATCTAAAAGTAAGTAAAATAATTTCCCTTCAAACTCACCAGAATTATTTAATATCTTATGAAATACAAAAGATTTATGCTCAGAAATTATATAATTTAATTCTTTTATTAAAAACAAAACAATCTGTTTTAAAATATCGCGTTTCAGAATAAGCTGTAGTACGCAGTTGTATGCTTACTATCGGGAAGTCAAGCAGGTCAAGAGCTCGAGGATGTTGTTTACATTTATATTGAAAACACCATCCATAGGAAACCATTATTATCAAAATGATGATTTCTTACTTTTCGGTGAGTTTAGATTGTGTTAATCTTGAAATATATTACATTATATAAATTGTATCGTGCCACAGGTCCTGGGTTCGATCCTCGGACCGGGCAAGGTTGACTCAGCTTTTCATCCCTTCAGTAGGTCGATAACCAAGCATGCTTGGGAACTAAACACTGGGGGTTCCGCGTTCGGCTGATCACCTGACCGGAGCATCTGCTCCTGCACCGCAGGGCCCAAGGTCAAGAAAACTGAGATGGGCACAGTAGGCCTTGGCCCTCTATGGGCTGTCGCATCACTGAGTTTAGTTTAGTTTATATAAATTGTATACATTGCATAATATAAAATATACTACACTTGCAATTGTATACATTACATAATATAAAATACTCTACCCTATGTAAAATACAATATATAAATTCTGAATTGAAAAGTTGGATTTTTAATGAGAAAGTTGGTTAATGAGAAACTTTCTCATTAGGAATTCTGTACATTCTTAATGAGAAAATTATATGCATTTTCATTTATTTATTTGAAAACTAAGATTAATTATTTTTCTTATCATTAAAAATTAACACATTTCCCTTTAGGTTCAAGAGTTTTATGAAACGCATCCATCAACAGAAAAGAACATGAAAGCTCGTACTCGTACCCTGGATAATATTAAGAGGCGCATAAATTGGAAGCTTAAATATCAAGCAGAAGTTACAGAATGGTTTTACATAAATTCAAAACCTTAATTTCTTGCTTAGAAAATATTTTAGCGCATGATATTGAAGGGGAAAAAATGCACCATATATTAGTTACATATGAACTATTTACAGTGATGCACCGTAATCTATGTTTTCACAATGAAAGTTGTCTTTCTAATAAGTTGAACTTTTTGATAACACACATTTTGTGAAGTCTTTATTTTAATAAATAATGAATATATATTTACGTCCCACGCTTATTTATAGTGGTTCAAAATTAGATTGCAAACTCAATTAAATAAAATCAAAGGGAATAAACAAAATAACTTCCTAAATTATAGCAACAAAATGTATTCAAGAGAAAGAAAAGAAACGAAATATAGTTAACTTAATATTTTTCTGTAGTTTGATCACAAATTAAATCAAGCTGGCATCAATCATTTAAAATGATTAGTTTTATCATTTTAAATGATTTGATGAATCATTTAAAATTATTAGTTTAGTCTGATTAGTTTTTCAAAACCATAATAGCTTATAATTGAGAGGAGTTGTAATAAAATTATTTAAATCACAATGTTGACGAGTTAAATGTGTTTTAAAATTCATTGTTAGCGAATTTTTATGCATTCCTCCCTTTAAAGATCCCCCCTCCCTACTTTTACATTTTAAAGGAACATATATTTTATCTAAACGTAAATGAACATATACTTTATCAAAACAAAAAGAACACATATTAGATCAAAATATAGTTTATATACGGAATTAATGCAAAATAACATGCTTTATAATTTAATGAAATAACCTTCAAAAAATTTGCAGGAAAACCTGAAAAATCATTAACATTTTAAAAATATAAAATTTCCGCTGTTGAGTTTTATTACCCGACATCGTGTAACAGATGGCAGCACTGGCAGTACTGAAATTTTATGAAGAGCTAATATTTTTATTATCTCTTTTAATTCTCTAGAAATAATTTGCTCGGTGCTGCTCTCTCATATTTTAAAGTTACATTGTTACATATTCTTACCACATTTAGTAGATATTAGAATGTTCTTTCTTAAATAAATATCCTAATATCAAATTTCTTTCATTTTAGGCAAAAATAGGTTTCAAAGTTTTTCACACAGCATTATCCCAGTTAAAACATTATCAAAGCAACTTAAAGTATTTTATTTCGTCAGTTTTAATTTTGTATGTTACATATACAAATCACAAAAATATTTTTTTTTACTAAGTTATTATATATATTCAATACGTAAAATATTTTTACACATTCCTACCAGTTTTTCTTTAGATATTTTTTTCAAGGAGAGTAATCATTTTTAAAAGTATTTTTTAAAGATTTTTTTTAAAAAGAAAATCGAAGAGATTTTTCTCGTTTTATTGCATTCTGTTTTTATTTTTTTAAAAAGGAAAAAAAAATTATGGATATTTAGTTGATTTTTAAATGTGTTGTTTTTTTAAAATAATAATAATAATAATAATTACCGGTCAAGCTTAAGAAAATATCTTTAAAGGGGATGATTTTGAACTTAAGTTGAAAGTTTTTAATCATCTTCTAAGAAAATTTCTTGAGAAAAAATTTATAAGCTATTGAACGTAGAAACCATGATAAAAAAGTTAACAGAAATGAAGCGTTACATCTGTGTTTTATCTGCTAATGTTTATTTTATTTAAGTCTTCCATGTCTGTCAAGCAAGATTCAATATTTTTCGAAGTTTTTTTTTTTTTTTTTTTTTTTTTTTTTTTTTTTTTTTTTTTTTNTTTTTTTTTTTTTTTTTTTTTTTTTTTTTTAAGTATTATGAATTCAGGAAAATACTTTGAAGCGTTAAGATAATTTAATTTCATTCGCGTAGTTGTAAATTCATCTTTTTCCCGTAAATCTACTTTTTTTTAAATTTGTCTTAGTATTTTTTTTTTTAATAGAACTAATACTTCTTTGAGTATAAAAGAGTTCCAAGATAAGAAATGAAAGAAGAAAAAGAACACAGAACAAAAGTCATTTTCCGCATTGATATTATCAGCAGCATCATGAAAGAGATGCGGAGACTCTTAATTACTGTACGAACAATTATTTCAAAGTCTTTGAAATTACTGTTCCTACAGTAATTCATACAGGTTTTGCAGGAACAAAATCTCAAATAGATAAAATCGTGATTGCACAAATAAAATATTGCTGAGATCGAGTTGATATTGAGCATGCATATAATAAAGATACATACTTAGAACTCTCGTAATTCAATTTAAACTAATATGTAACCCTTTATTAACTTTATTATTTTATTTAGGGAGGGTGTTCTAGTGCAAAAGGAAATCAAAAGAAAAAAGCGACTTTATCCTTCAAAATATATTGTACCATTAAAATCTAGAAAAAAATGAAATAGTTGTAAATAGTTTTAAAACAACACGTTGTTCATTTAAAACTTGTAAGAACACTTTAAAAGAAATTAAAAGAAAGGGGAAACTTCATCCATAAAAATATTTTGCTCAATAAGAATCTGGAAAAAGCAAACAGTTTTAGGTAATTCTAGTACAACTCAATGTAACATTTCACAATCACTTAAAATGTAACATTTATAGTGCAATCCTGTAGTCTTGTGAAATGAATTAATATAACTCCAGCTTTTATGCTGTCACATGCGGTTGTGTCTTTGTCACAAAGATGAATGGAAAAAACCATCTACTTATCGCAGATATGTGACACAAATTTAAGAGCATTGCGTCAGACAACGTAGAATAATTTTTTTACAATTGTGGAACTTTAAAGGAAATCATTACATATTAGACTAGATTTTACATATTAGATTACATTTAGATAAAATTAATTAGATTTATTTATTAAACTATACTTTGACGTTAGTTGTAAAATAATTCAGGTGTAATATTATACTCATGTTAATAATTTGAATTTTATTTCATATGAAATGCAAAATTGAATTTTGTCTACTTTTTAAAGTAGTTTTCTAAAATACGTTTAAGAAAAAAAATTCGTTGAAAAACATCAATGAAAGTGTACATTCATGCACAGAGAAAAAAATGTGGTTAGAACTACCAGAAAATTGTACCATTTAATATGTTCCAGGCTCTATGGGAGCACTAAAAGCTATGGAGACACCAAAAATGGTTTGAATATTGTATATATATATATATATATATTTACTTATTTTTTTCTTTTCCTTTTACTTTTCCTTTTCTTTCCTTTTTATTTCTCACCCGAAACGTTATTACCGTAATTTCACAGATTTTTTTTTTCTCCGTGGGTAGACTGAGAAAAAATACGAAAATTTGTGGATGGTGTTTTTTTGAATTATAAAAATATTAACCCAGTTGTATAATGATTTAAGCAAACGATTCAGTTAGAGTATAGAAAATATTACAGTAAATAACTAAAGTTTGCTACGAAGTAAATTTGATTTTTTTTCAAGTATTGAAACTTATTTTTCAGATCAATTTTAATTTTTAAATTATAAGAATTAGACAACTTTTTCGTCAAAGTAAATTACTTAAATAATAATTCTGTATATGCGAATAACGGAAATTGAGAAAAAGTCATCTTGCAGCATTGAATCACCTATTAGATTTGTGTCTTTATAAAAATTATAGGAAAAAAAAATTCTATCTTCACAAAAAATTTCCTCTTCACTTTTCGAAATAGAATTACTTTCTTCCTTTTATCTTTAATTTAATTTTTTTATTTATTTATTTACTTTACTTTACTTTACTTTACTTTATTTTACTTTATTATTTCAACATTAGCTTTGAAAAGGATTCTAAAAGTCCTAGGTAGACCATGATATAAAAAGTGCCACTGATATAAAAAGCTTTAAAATTTAAATAAAATTATTGCCCGCTTAGATTATTACAATAAAATACAAAAAGTTTATTTCCCAAAAAATTTAATACCCGTAAAATTATTGTCCGAAATTAAGTCCCACATGTCTATTAGTTATCTCAAATTTGTGTAAGCTTATTAAGCAAAAGCTGACGAATAATTATTGATACCATTTGGCCATCAAATGTAATATAAGCGTGTAATTCAGGCTCCATTAATTGTGATTTATCTATTATAATGACTCAAAAATTTTCTTAATATTTTTCTGAGTTTATTAATAACCAATAATAGCAAAAAATATTATATCACTTAATATTTTTTATAATCTAAAATTATTTTTCATTAATGGTTGTTATGTATCGATGTGTTGTATTTTTTACTACTTACAACTCTTACAACCTTGAAAAACTTTATTTTATAAATTTTGAACTCCTTTGATCTAAATAAACAAGATTTTATGAAACATCATTTTTAAACGAATATAAAAATTTGTCAGCTTTTGGTTGTTATTTAAATAAATTATTATGCAGTTAAAAAGTTCTTGATCTTCCATTTTAAGCCGTATTCGTATTAGGACATAATTTTTCTTATTTTGAAAAAATAAATAAAAATATAGTTTTTACGTATTAAAATTTACTAAAATAATTAAAACAACGAAGTATTCATACACTGAGAAAAACAAAAACTGTGGTCAAAACTGCCAGAATAAGGTAAAATTTATTGCATTTCTGGCTCTATGATAACAATATAGTAATTTTCTCCTGTAACATCATGAAAATTGTTATTTAAAAATTATTATCAATTTAAAAATGAACTATAGTGATTCTGCTGTTCCTAATTACATTTAAATCAAGCAAAAATGAACATCAAAAACCACATTTCTTGCACTTGAAAATTTTATTAAATTCTATAAGCAATTTGAAGTTTTATATGTTATATTTATTTCATTTTTTCACATTGCAATGAAATTAGTTACAAATGCGTTACTTATCTTTATTTTTCAAAGCCATGCTCTAAAAACGTTCATTTTGTATGAACAAAAAATATGTTAGCAGATGTTATAACTTAAAAAAACAATGCAACCCCCATGTCACGTCGAAATCAAAGCTGTCAGCAAAAAGCTGTGTCTTAAACTTTGTTTTCCATATAAGTAATATCAATTCATTGTGGAGACACATTTATTGAAAGAAGTCATTAATTTTGAAGGTTATTGCTACGAAGTAAGTTTAATTAATTTATATTTAGTAACATTCTTTTAACGCACATTTCTTTAACTTGCACATGCATTTCACACTTGTACTTGCACTTTAAGTCACCATCAACATCTTAAGTATACGACAAAAAACTTTGTCCCTTTTCGGACAATTAGTACTATATTTTACTGTTACAATGGCATAAATTCTATAAAATATCCGCATTTCAAAAGTGTTTAAAAATTCTTATACGTCAAACAATTTTTCGAATGGACCATATAAGATATGATTTTATGATAATTTATAATTTTTGAAAAGATTTCACACTAACTGTTTATTTCAATATGTGAATTTTGTAAAAAGTAGTTATAGATTATTTATGTTTTTGTACACAGATACCTTAATATAAAAAACTGAAAATAATAATTTGGGATATCTTTGATTTAAATTATGTTAGAAACTTATTTAGAATATACCTTATTTAGAGTATTAACACAAACTGATTTAGATTAACACTTTTTATTTAAATAAATAAAAAATAATATAATATGAAATTAGCAACATAATATTGTCGAGTTCTTTTGGAGCATTTAATTTTAGTCTGGATCTTTAAACAAACATTATCTGTTATGTTTACATGGTTATTTTATGCAAATTATTTGTATTTTCTCCGATTTTCAACTACTTAAAAATATTGAATTAAATCGGATAAAATCAATTTTTTTACATAAAAAATCAAAACCTAATTCGTAATTCTCATTTGAAGAACACATAAATAGGTAATGACGCCTTACATACAACATTAATTCCCACAACGCGTTGTTTTATAATAATTCCAAAGAAAATTTTGGTTGATTATTCTTCCTACAATTGCGAGTTTAAAAAACCGTGCAATGAATCTCTTTGTATAGTTTGTTACACATTACTAACGTAACATATAAATTGCTGTTCCAATTCAAAAGTTTTGAGGGCGAATAATTAAGGTTATAAAAAGAGTCATTTAAATAGAAGCTCAAAATATTATCCTTGCTATTTCATAAAAAAATGTAAATTGGTTAAAACTTAATGTGGATCAAGTTTGCGACCTCTAGCTTTTCAAGTCAAGTTTTCAAGTTTTTATATTCAAAGGATAAAATGTTGAGATATAATACCCTAAAATGATAATAAACTTTTATTTTTCTGATGCTATTTTATTTTATTTTATTTTATTTTATTTTATTTTATTTTATTTTATTTTACTTTATTTTATTTATTTTATTCTATTTTTTTCTCTATATAAAATCACTGTTAAAAGAATGACTTATGGCATTTCAAAAATCCAATCATTCCCGCCAATTTAATAAAAAAACAATTTATGTTAAATAGAAACTGAAGTTACCTTACTAATTGGAGAAATTAATGAAATTAATTAAGTCGTTTGATATGAGTATGTAGATTGATAAGACAGATGTATAACAAGAAAAACTTTAGTCACGTTTTCGGCAAATTAATTGATAAAAATGGTTCACAAATTTTAAGCCCCTTAGACTTAATATGTAGAGTGACCCAAAGGAGAACATTACCTGAAATAACTTTTTTCTAATAAGCGATTCGACCAATCTCATTGGTTCAAAGTGTTGATCTCAAATGATGTCAGTTAATAACTACTACTAAACAAGTTATGAAATCAATCACAAAAAATACCCCTTCTTTGATTAAACGTACCTTTTACGTCCGATTTGGAATTTTAATTCTCAAAACATCTGAAAAATCGCAATCTGTAAAAAAAGGTTTTAATAATTTACTTAGGAAAGTGTGGTTAAAAGTTAGACCCTTTAATGTCAATTTCATTTTTTGTGTAGTTTTTTGTAATTTACCAGAGATTTTTTTAAACGGATCGAAAAATTTTTCTCACAATAATAAGTCTTGTTCAATCGTTTGTAATTCCACAAGTAATACACAAATAATAAATAAAAAATACAATTGATTTTTTATTTATCAAAACAATTCAAATTGATTTTAAATGGATAAAATTTTTTTTGCAGAATTACAAAGTATGTGATTTTGAATTTATTTATGTTAAAAATTTTAAATAAGCATTAATTTTAGATTTTTATTTCTGCAGAAACATTAGAAAAAAAATTTGCATAAATATAATTCTTAAAAATTACCTATTTTAAAATGATGTAGAAATCTACGTTCCGTACGATACAGATTTCATGATCTCTAATTTTGAGGAAAACGGTCATAAAGGTGTATTTTAGTTTTATTCAAGAAGTGCGCGTACAATAAGTGCTCATTTTTAATTCCGTGACTAATTTTTAGCCTCCTATTTGTTTTCAACTTATTATTTAGTTTAGTGCTGACATCTAGTTTAAAATAAACTAACTATCTCTAAACGCTTTATAAATAGTCTGATTCTACCATCTCATGTATAGATTAAGAATTAAACATGATTTAGAGTTAAAAAAATAAGTCTTCTTGGCGCTTTACTTTTGAACACTCCAGCCCGGAAATATCGCGAAACTTCAGTCTGCCAGTTTTTTTTATTTATTTATTTTTTTTTTATAAATATTAAACAATAAGTAATTATTGAAGTTTATTTTTCACACTGATTTATCTTAGAATAAGCTAGTGCACAGGGACCGATCAAGACAAATTCAGGCCCAAGGCCCACCAAATTTTCTGGGCCCCTTACCAGACATTTTTGAAATTAAATTACTGAAGAGTAGTCCTAAAAATAAAAAAGAATCTATTGAACTGCATGATTCAAGAGAAACATTCTACGAAATTTTGAAAGCAGACAGTTGAAGACTATTTTCTAAGAAAAAGTTCATGTATCTATAAATTAAAGCAAAATATAAAACAACAAATCAATGATGTATCAAAATAAAAATAGTTAGGAGACCATAAATAATTGAAATAAGCGATTTTTGCTAAAAGTCACTGATTAACTGAATTATTTTTTACTGTAAGCTATAATTATTTTTTATTTAGTACTTTAACCAACACAAAGCTATCCAACCTTTACTATTTTTTCAGGCCCTTCAGAAATTGTCGGTCCATGCCTATTGGGCCAAGGCTACAATCAGGCGATGCTAGTGCAAATGTTTTCGATTCATTTAGAAAGTTCTCGGGACAGTGTGAAACATTCAAAAAATGTAATTAATGAAATAAAACTTTCGATCCCCATACTAACTAGACTATTAGAACAATTTCGAATTAGAGGCTAGACTCCATTTTTCTTAATAGAAAGAATTAAAATTTGTCGAAAAAAGGCATGCTTATTCAAAAAATTTACACTTTTTCTGTCTGATTTCATTACTTAATTCACAGTTAGCACAACTGCCTTAGCATACATGAGGTCAACACTCTAAGTCAATTAGATTTTCGTTTATGTGTGTAAATCTGATCATTAAACAAGGTGCTCTAAAGTTATTTTTTAACTCACCCTTCTTTTGTATTGTACATATAGGTCAGAAAAATAACGAGCAACGGATTCAAATCTTCCATTTCTCGAAAACAAGTGAGAGCTGCTGTGGTAGTGCAGTACACAAAAAATTACCAAAAATATGTTAATTAATTATTGCAGACGATATTTTTTAAGTTACGAAATCAGGTGCAAAGACGACATTTCTCTGAATAAATTTACCTTTTTTTCAAGGATATCATATTTTTAAGCTCCAAAATGTCAGAGGTAGACACAATCTGGGAAAGAAGGTCCCAATAGCTTGTTCAGGAAAACGATATAAAGTTTGTAACCCTTATGTTAATTTTACTTTTTGTGTATTTCACTGTATCTCAAGAAATTTTTAAGCAATTTAAAAAAAAAAAGAATTTTTGCACACAATTATAAAATTCATTTATCCAAAGATAATTCCGTGCAAATTATAACTTTTAATTAATATTTATTATTTTACTTAATAATAGCCGAAGAAATTTAGAATTGTAAAGTATACAATTTTTATGTCATTTTAAGTAGTAAAATTTTAAGTGGCAAAATGCAAAATTTGGGCGAAATCGGTCGATTAGTTACCGAGAAACAGAATTTTGAAAAAGGTCGTCTGAACTCTTAAAAAATTTTGCAATATTATTGCGACTACAATTAATATTGCAAAATACTTGTATATTAATTGACCTTCCGTGGAAATAACAACTAAGTAAACAATTTCGTGCTCATTTTTCTTTATTTTTTTAAACACTAAAGCAGAATCATTACGGGTCAAAGTCGTGCACTTCGAAGTCAGGGTGGCAAAGATATATTACAGAAGTAACTTTTCAAGCAATCTCATAATATTCAGCATAATAAAAAATAAAGTGATTTTAAAAAAATTCAATTTTGTACGATGTAAGTTAAAAGTCACTTTTATGTATTTAAAGGACCCGTGAGAACAGTTGGCTTTTAAAGCCCAGCAAATTTTTAAAAGTTGTGCTTATTGCTTTCCGTTTTTACTTATCTCCACTAATTCAGCGGTTTCCAAAGGGAACCCTGGGGTTTGATAAAAGCTTCACAAGGGTTCCGAGAGTTTAAACTCTTTAAACAGGAAATAATTCTTGAAATCTGTCTTTTTATTTATATTCAAACAGCAAATCATCATTAATTTGCCATCATTGTTAGTTTCATGAAATTATTTAAGCTAACAACACAAAATAACTCTGAATTTTTTTTTCAAACGATATTTCTTCTAATAACAATATATTGAATAAATTATGAAAACGATCTACATTTAATAAAAAATTGCATTATTATTTCTTATTAAAATTTTTAATGTAAAATTATCAAATTCTGGAATAACGTATTATGTTTTTCTCAACAATTATAACAATTCTTTCTGCAAACTATAATCCAGCGTATTTTATATGTTTTGACTCGTACAAAAAAAAAATCAGAACTAGTCTAAATGTCATTCCAGGCCTGCAAATTTAACTTTTTGGCATAAAACTTATAATTTGAAGTTTCTTATTAGTAAAGCGGTGACTGAATAAGTTTTATTTTTCACATTATATATGATCAAATTAATTTACAGTCTATTATCGTTACAACTTTTTTGGTTAGTTTTTTGCTCACAGCTACTAATTTTATTCATGAACTAGGGGCTCTGTCAAAATATACCATACTCCATACCCCTATTCGGAACCGCTGCATTAATTCATTAATTAAAAAATAAATTCTTCAGGGAAGTTTTAAAAACGAATCAAATTTTCCTTTTCTTATAGACGTATTTTGAGTTATGTCTGTCTTCTGAAATGCGCATTTTAAGCTGTATTCAATTTTTTAAACGGCATTTTTATCTCTGCCCAGAATAAGAAGCTCAGAGACACAATACAATGAGCCCCCAAAGGAGTTATAAATTTGTTGTTACTAAAAGACATTAGTTTTAAAAGAGGAAATGATGCAAACGCAACAATTGAACACGGTGCTCTTGAAAATGGAAGTTTAATCAAAAATACCAAGTTTATTACTGCAATTCAACTTGAATTTTGTTGCTATTTCTTTTTCCATAAAGATAAAGCTTTTTATGCGACATTAAATTTAGTTTTCGTCATATTTCATTGTTTCGTTTCGGTGTAGATTAAAATGGCGATAAAAAACTAACGCCGAACTTAGATCATTAACTCTGCCTTCCTGTCAACAGTAAAAAAAACGATATTCTACGTCCACAGCTTCATTATTTTTAGAGTAAATAAAAGAAGAAGAAAAAGACAATACGCAAAATTTCATTATCTAAAATATTACTTCTTCTGGAGGCAATGTTTAAACATTTTTCAAACCGTCTCATAACTCATGCTCAGATATATATAGCAGATATTAATTTTAAAAGTACTGTTTGAATAAAAGAAAAACTTAATTAGCTTCCAAAATTAAGTTGTAAAAAGTCAACATAATAACAGTCTTCAAAACAAGAATCACCAACACGTGAATAATGAAAAGTTAACAGATTTTTTTTAAAGAAAAGTAAAAAAATTTAACACTGCAGTGGAGAAAAATCAGGGTACGATACCTTTCCAAACAAAATGGAGGAGCAGAAACTGTCATTAACAAGAACATCGGCATCATATGGAAAGAAAAAAAGAAGAAGAGTCCAGAGCATTAAGGAGGACAGGTCTGACAGGATTGAAGAAACTTTGGCATTCTCGAAGTTAATATTATGGCCAAGGTTCTAGCAAGGAACAACGATGAATTATTTGTCGAAATCTTGAAGGCGTACAAACTTTTATGCTTCCTTAATCTAAATTTTAAATGACATTTGGTTTGCTTAATGAAGTCAAGGTTTTATATTATCGCCTGGGATTTACCATATACCTTAAAAATGCAACCTGATCTACAATGGGTAATATATGTCCGGATCACAGGTATGTCCGTCATCGAAAATTCAATAAATAATCTATTACCACGTGTTGTTAGAGCCTTTGGTTTACATTTAATTACAAGACACTTTCACATTAAAATGTTTTTCAATCCCTGTCGCACCGGCTTATCTTGATTCTCCTTAATTTTGGTTCATTCATTGGAAATTTTGATGCCCTTGTAATAATATTGACTCGTCATTTTATGTTATTCCGCTTGGAACAATATCCTGTTATGATTCACCTCTTTTGACCACTGTCATTCCGCTCTGATATATGGATTTTTCTTGCCACATTTCTTAATTATTTAGTGACAATGTTGCTGTTATTCTCTCAAATTTGGCTTGTTTTTACCATTTACATGTAAGAGGGTCATGAAACAAGCGTCTCTAAATGAATGAATGCTCGAAATGCAGACTGTCTTCAACCTTAATTTTTGAAGTTGATGAAGTTTTAACATAACCAAGCATACATTTCCACTTCAACTTCTTGAGATAATTTATTTAATATTTGAATGACTGTTATGATAAAAATAACTATTCAGTGCTTTATTGAGATTTTCAATATTTTTCTCTCAAGATAGAAAATGAACAAATTGAATTCTGCTTTGCTGCTACTTGGCGTATTTGTAGCAACTTTGGCACTTAGTCCTGAAGATCTCAATTGTCCAGTTGGTTTTGACTCACAACTTTTTGCAAACAATGAGAAAGTCTGCCAGTTCTGCACTGATGAACTGAAAAATGAAACGACTTTTGAAAAATGCAGGTATGTAAAAAATTTTCTTATATTGAACAACAGAAATTTTCACAAGAATTTAAAAAAGAACCTGTAAGCGGTGAAATAAATTCTGGCAAAATTACCTTATTTGTATGGTAAAAGTATATCTGGTTTTAAAAAAAAATACTTTTTCCAATAATTAAACCAAAATATACGGTATTTAAACCATTTAGTTATTAATTTTTCCATTCCTTACCGGAGTTCACGATTTCAAAAATTATAGTTCTTATTATGACACATTTAGTAAAAATACAAAACTAAAACGTAATTTTATATAAACAAATGTGCCATTATTACTGTGATTTAAAGTATCACAAAAACATTATAAAATGTTCTTCAGATTTGCCACTCATTTTACCATTTATTTGGAAATTTGAACCATTTGATGTCCATGCCTTTTACCAAATAGATTAGTAATTATCTTTTAACACTATGATTTATTTTAATTGTTGACAAGAAATATATAACGATGAATTATTTTTTTATTTATTTTGTATGTTCATGCATTTCTTAATTATAACAAGCGGAAAGGACAAGAACGATGACTTCAAACTTTTAATTAAAGTGTCTTAAAGATACTAAATTTAGATATATCAAACTAAAGTTATCAAACTAAGGATATGTCAAACTAAACCATTTTTAAGAGAATAGTAGGATTTATTTATTTATTTACACACATATGTGGGTCTCCTTGTAAATATAAAGAGCAACTAAAAATACTTTTTTATTTGAAAATCAGAAAGCACATTTTGGAGCAAGAATATACTTCCAGTACTATACCGGAATTCTAATACTATTCAACTACAGTTAGAGCTGTTAGCGGAACAGTAATACCTCACGGTGAGGAAGTTCTCTAACATTAATTGCAAGAAAAACAACAATAGGGTTATAGGGTTCACTGTATTAGAGGAGTAATATACACTGAAGAGCCATTACATTATGACCACCCTGCTAATAACATGTAGGACCACCTATAGCCCTCAAAACTGCTAGCACCCGCCGTGGCCTTGATTCCACAAGATGCTGATAGGTAGTGTGCCACAATGCTCTATTGGATTAAGGTCAGGTGAATTTTGGGGCCATGACATGACTTGAAAGTCACTGGAATGCTCCTCGAACCAATCCATGACGATTCGAGCCTTATGACATGGTGCATAATCCTGTTTGTATACACCATCCCCGGCAGTAAAAACTGTTGCCATGAATGGGTGAACCTGGTCTGCAACTATGTTCAAGTAGCTTACAGACGTCAGGGATTGTTCTATGAGGATTATGGGTCCTAATGAGCCCCATGAAAACATTGTTCCTGGGCGAGAAACCATGGAAACCTGGGCGAGCCCATTGTTATAGATGGAGGGTGGTCATAATGTAATGGCTCTTTGGTGTATATTCATCATACGCTCTCATACACAAAGGTAACGGATTTAACATCTTTGTGCTATTTTTCTTATTTTTGTGCTATTTGTTCTGAATTTGGCAAAAGCAAGCCATTACAACAACTAAGATCGTATGCTTAATGCAAAGAAGAGCCATTGCAATTCTTTACATTAAGCATACGAGCCTGTATATGTATCTAAACAAAATTTCTTTATTTATTTATTTATTCTTACTCATCCAAGGTTAAGATTTGATTCATACCCGCTACCTCCATTTTAAATAGCAATTGGAGGGAAGGCAAAACAGTTCGACTAGACAGGCCCCTATAGAAAGTATTAAAACAAAAACATTATTATTCATAGTATTTATTGATTTAGTTAATGTTACCCCTGCTCGCGTGCCCATTACAAAGTTCGATTCATTTAAAGCCCTTATTCAAGTTAAAAAACACGGGCTTAAAAAAGACATTACCAAGATGGATCAATTGCAGCTTAGTCCCGGGTTTGAATTCCAGGATATATATTTGTGATGCCCTTTTCTATGAGCTAAAACATCCCGATGATTACACTTTTCACACTATACCAAAAATCAATTTTTGAAAATAATTTGCGTTATAGTTTTTAAAATAAGTTAAAATAATAAAGTATTTGAAGATCTTTATATAATATACTTATAAGCAACTCTTTCATTCAAAGAGTGCAACTTTTACAACAAACTGTCGCCTAGTGTAACTACGATAGATATTTAGCCAGCACATTTCATTTCCAGCAAGAAAATCTCTTCCAAAGCGTTCGTAAAAATTATCCTTCTGAACTCTTTGAAAATGTGGGTTGTCATTACATTGCTCACAAGTCCTTCAATTGTTATCTACCATCATTTCCTATTCTTTAGATATATTTATTCCCTAACTATTTAAAAATTTATTTACTATATTGCATTGCTATTTTTGTATATGTTTAGGTAAGTATTGATTGGATATTTGAATTAGAATTCGACTCAACCTCTCTCTCATTTTAGTTTTAAAAAAAAACATTGTACATTGATGCATACATTTGGGTGCATTACGCGGTATACGTTTTTTCCAGTCAATTTCAGATCGTTGCGTGCCAGCTTTTCTGGGAAGTAAAGACAACCAGGGATCTCAATGCTGGCATTACTGTCATAATCATACTGTTGGTCACAAAATTATGGAGTTATACTCCTTGACCCTTCTGGCCTACAACGGACTTAACGCTTTAATTTACATTAAAATGCTCGGAAGATTTTATTCCCTTAAATTTGATTATTATTTTCATTGATAAACATTTTTATGCAATCAGGAGTTTTCTAAAAACAAGTCTAATATTTTTTTTGAATAAAATATGCATGAGTTATAATAAAAATTTTATTTTCCCCATTTTTAGCAAAAATTGTTTTCGTGAAGAGTTTTTCACATCTTGTACCAAATTGATGAACAAAGAATACTTTGAAGTAGATGATGTTGAAGAGTCGCCTCAAGAAAACGATGGTTTCCTATAGCGGTCAGCTTATGCTACCAAAAATGATTTTAAAAACAGAAACTTGTTTGTGTATTAAAATGAACCTTTGAACTATGTCTTCACCGTCTTATAATTGTTTACCTTATTTTTTATATTTTCTCTAGACAGCACGAAAATACATGGGAACACTTTAAGGAATTTCATAAACAAAGCAATGAATGTATATAAGCCCAAAAAATGGTCTAAAGAGAGGGCTCCGCCCCCTGCTCACTGCCGCTCGCCATCCCCCGATAATTGCTGCGCTATTACAGCTATTAAAATATATTGGAATTCTAAAATAAATAACTGCGTTCTATCAAAACAAGCATTTTATTATAAAATGTTTCTACTATCTACTACTACTACTATCTTTTTACATTGCCACTCAAAATTATTAATAAACACTGGATAATATTGTGTTAATGACACTGTTATCTAATGACGTCATAAGCAATCGTTTGCATAAAGTTTAGTTCATAATAATCATATATAATCGTTTGCATAAATAATCGTTCGGTCTTTTTATAGCTTTACGTAACAAATGCGAGATGTTTATTTATTTATTTATTTATTTATTTTTTTTGGAATGGCGAAGTTATAATTTTGATGTTGAGTTAATAAATCTTCCTTTTTATAAATGTAATAGTAGAGTTTTCTTAATTATTTGATTCGAAGTCCTCTAAGTTTTATTTGAGGTCAGTTTGTGTTTTGTATTTTTTGACAGCATTATTAAAAATTATTACCTTTTCACATACATGCGTTCTCAATTTTGATTGGCTGTTTTGTGCGTTACTAACCAGAAGTCTTCTGTGATTGGCATAATCTATTACGAGCATAAC